GGGTGGGTAACAGGACCCCTGTTGATACCAGTGTTTACTACACTGAAGGGGCTATCCTGTATAAATAAAGATGTTTACTCTACTCTACTAAAGAAATTAAGATAATGCACTGATTAATGGAGAGTCATTTTCCCAACCATGCGCTTGTAGGACTGGTGAACTTATCAACCGATTGTCATCAGATACTCAAGTCATTCAAAATGCCTTAACAGTGAGTGACTGTGTGTAACTAGTTTACTTGAAATGATTTTGTAGCTTATGAATAATTTTTATGAAATATATGTTCAGACAAACCCTTTGTTTTATTATGATTCATTCATTCATTAACTTTAGTTCTCCAAACCAATTAAAAGAATGAATTAAGGTCTCCAGGGACATTTATTTCAGTAAATTCTTGATCAGAATTTTAACACTCAACAGTTGACTGTTTATCAGATCAGATTTCTACCAAGGACTTTTCCTCTTACTTTAAGTTTCTAGCTGAAGGTAGTAATCTATGAGTGGAATGATTCATGTCTGTTAATAGGAAAAATGGACAGCATGAGACAAAACGATGGATATATTTCCTTGTAAAGTTTATACCAATGAAGATAATGAAATCATTGAGTGATTGTGTCCATTTTTTTTGTGAAGGTTAATGTCTCCATGTTACTGCGGTACATATTCCAGATTGTTGGTTCTCTGGTTTTTATGTTCACTCTGAGTGCCAAGTTGACTGGAGTTCTTATATCTGTTGTTCCTATTGTGGGAATAGGTGCCCAGCAGTACGGTATGTGAGCTGAATTATCCAACTTTGAATTATTATTGCCAAGGAAAACTGTGAGTACTTTCTGAAAAGTAATTGGAATGTTCATTTGAAAAGGTTGATGGTCAACCAAAGTTCATTTTCAAAGTAAAATAATCATGGTGTCACTTTGTGGTAGTTTGTGAGACAATAAACAACCCTTTTGATTGGAGAAAACCTTGGTAATAATGATCGAGTTTTGCGTCATTCCAGTACAGTTCTCAGAATAATTTCCTCTGATCCATCTAATCTGTCTCCCTTTAAACTTTGAAGTAAGTAAAATTCTAGGTGTCCTGGAGCTGGAGAGCTTTGAAAAATTTGTTTCCTTATTTTTGGAAATTGTTGAAAGTGGCTCTACAATTCTTTCCTGGTAATGTAGGAAGTTATGTTCAAGGATTACGAAAGAAATTTCAAGATGAGTTAGCTGCAGCATCTGCTACTGCAGAAGAATCAATTGGGAACATACGAACTGTGCGATCATTCTCTCAAGAGCGTAAAGCCATGGGAAACTATGGCACAGATATTAACAAGAGTTACAAAGTTGGAGCAAAACTTGCCCTATTTTCAGGTACAGGATGTTTTTTTTCTTCCACAAGGAGGCAAACTTAGTTATGATTCACTTCAGTCTCTAGAGCCTTTGTTGTAAGGGTATTAGTCAAGAATAAATATTATTGTGAGTAGAAGGCAAAAAGTTGTTGTTTATTGATGGAGAAAAGAGAAGCAATGAAATGAAACATCTTAAACCTCTTATATTTACACCTACTTTGAGGATAGAAATTGTTGTTTATAATAAGTAGGTTTTTATTAAATTATTGCTTTTCTTATCCATTCTGGGTAAAAATCAGGAATCCTAATAGGTCCATACCAAGTTTTTGCTCCTTTCCACTTCTATGTAAGAACAATTTTCCTTGAATGTCAAGGAGAATAAATGTCAGTGATATTTTTTTAACATTCATTATCTTATCTTGATGGCAGGTTTATTTCAAGGTGTCATTGGTATTATTGGTCAGGTATGTAACTTGTACTAGAATAATGCTGTTGCAAACTTCTTTAATGCCTTTGACATCTTAGGCATAATAATATTTTTCAAGTTTTCTTACACATTCCCCAACAAGGAGAAATGTTTTTCAATATTGTAGATATTCATTAATATGTTCTACATTGTTATTTGCTGTTTACTGTTTGTATTTTATATTGTAGGGTGCTGTTGTGTTGGTCCTGTGGTATGGTGGCAATCTAGTCAATCATGGTGAACTTAATGTTGGAATTTTAACAGGTAAAATATTTGAAAAAAAATAATTCCAAGGAAGTGATTTTGTTGGTACTCACTCTTCACAATAGAGAAGAAAGTTATCAAACAAATTTGGCAATAATAATAATAATAATAATAATAATAATAATAATAATAATAATAATATTAAACAATTTTTAATATAAGAGAAAAATCGAGTTTCCAGATGGGATTTGAACCCACGACCCTCCGTGATCTAGTCGGATGCTCTAACCACTGAGCTACAGGAGACTCTATGGTGAGCAAGGGTCAATTAGTGGGTATTGACTGGAACCACATCACGTGGCTACACAGCCAAACATCAGCTAGCGCATAGAAGCTCACTTACAGCATCACGCTGTCACATTAAAGCATCACATGCAGCCAACCAGCCCCCAGAGTGAGCATGAAAAGATGAAATAAACAATTTTTAATATAAGAGAAAATCAAGTTTCCAGATGGGATTTGAACCCATGACCCTCCGTGATCTAGTCAGATACTCTAACCACTGAGCTACAGGAGACTCTATAATAATATTAACAAAGAAATTCAGGGTTGACAAAAAAGTTTCAAATTTTAAGTTATTTATCTCATTAGTCAATATTAATAATAATATGAATATTCATTTGATTGTTTCTAAGCATTTATGCTGTACACTCTAAATGTGGCCATGGCATTTGCCTTCCTCTCATCTTTGTATGGAGACTTTATGCAGGTTGGTCTTGACAAGTTCATATTTCAACCATTTTCACCCTTAGTCCATAGTTCTGTTGCCCTTTGTATACTGATCATGTTTCATAGACTCAGACAATGTACTTAATGCAGCAATTGCAATTAAGATCAGTCCTAGGGGTATCTGTAATGAGAAAAAAAATTCAGTCATATATAAAATAGAAATCTGAAATGTGGGAAATAGAAATCAGTTAATGATATGTAAATAAATAGAAATCTGTAAGGTGCAAAACTGTAATCTGTGAAATGAGAATCTCTGCTGAAAACTCCACAGGTGTGGAGAATGAATTGGTCAGTTCACCACAAGTGTGATTTGTGTACGCTGCCAACCAAATTATAATAACAACAACTAGCAATAGTGAGAAATGAAAAATCTGTGTTTTCAATGCATTGTCTATATGAAAGAAGAGTTGCACCATTAAGCCATAAAGAGCACATGCAATTTGTAAATATTAGCAGGCCCTGTGGCTGTGCTTTATATAAGGTGAAGCAGTGTACATTGTTGATATACCATGCCCAAAATTGGAAACCTTTTTTCTGTTTTCCTTATTACGTGTGAATAGTGTAATAAAGAATTCTTTCTTAATTTGTGCTAGTCTTGCAGGGAAATAGTTATGAAAACAATAAGGTGAAAATTGTTTGTGACAGGAATACAAGGTGTAATAAAGTAATAAGATACTAATGGGAAAGAAAAACTGAATAAGCACAAATTGTGTCAGTTTTTCTATCTGGTTCACAGTTACTTTCTCAGAAGCAAAATAACGATTTATTTTTCCATGTCCAGTCATTTATATCTGAATCTAAGAGATTTTGTCCAAGTACTTAAATGTGTATTTACTATCTGTTCGCTCTGCTTAAATGTTCTATTGTTTGTTTTGCTACAGCTTCGACTATTGATTATTTTCTGTTACTTTTTTTTTTTATTATTCAATGGTATTTCAAAGTGAACCCTGTCGATGAGTATTTTTACTCTCAGGGTAAACTTTGTCCAATAAATATGTTTAAATTAAAATATATATATATATATATATATGGCCTAATAAGGGGAAAGAAAAAATGAATGAGGCAGCAACACATGGTGTAATAAAGTAATATTATATAAGGTAATAAGGAGAAAAAAAAAATTAATGTGGCAGCAACACATGGTTTAATAAGGTAATAAGGAGAAAGAAAAAATTAATGTGGCAGCAACACATGGTTTAATAAAGTAATAAGGAGAAAGAAAAAAATTAATGTGGCAGCAATATTTTTTCCTTATTACCTTGTTACAACATGTGTTGCTGCCACATACAATATTTTTTTCCTTATTACCTTGTTACAACATATGTTGCTGCAACATACAATATTTTTTTTTATTACCTTATTATATCATGTATTGCTGCCATGTTAATTTTTTTTTTGTAATAACTTTATTTTTACCCCTTGTTACCCTACTACACCATGTATTGCTACCACATCCATCTTTTCCTTATTACACCATGTATTATTGCTACATACATTTTTTTTGTCCTTATCACGTAATTACACCATGTAAATGCTGGCATGGGCATTTGTTGCTGTTTTATGTCATTAACAAACCAGTGTGGAAAACCTTATCACCTTATTACATGTAATAAGCTGAAAAATGGGAATCAATCCTAAAATAGGCAGCATATGGTTGTTGATGAAAAATTTGAAAGGGATGCGACAGGTCACTTTCCCAAATGAAAATTCATGTGGAAAATGTTGCAGCATGTTTCCACATGAAATATCATGTCTGACCCAACCTTTTTGTTTTTCTTGAATTTCAGTCATGTTTAGGATTTTCCTTTTACAGATTTCTATATGGCAAATTACAGATTTTCATTTTGTTTTATTTCTTTTGTTTGGGAAATGACAGTAAGCGTGTAATTTCCTATCCCTGTTGGTTTTCTTGTATTCAGGCTGTAGGTGCATCAGTACGCATGTTTCAGCTAATGGATCGCTTGCCAGCTATAAATGCGGAAGGAGGACAGAAACTTCACTCCGTTAATCAAAGTAAGTGTTAAGTGGAAGGCAAGTGTTTACTTATATTAATAACATGACGTAACTGTCTTGCAGGAATAGCATGCTCACTTGGTGATGAAAATGACCTGAATGTCACCAATAGTCCGGAAGATAAATTGGAAATAAACACACACAAAAAGCACAAACCTTGAAAGGACATTCAAGCCATAATGATCTTTAAATTTCCCACCAGGTGCCATTTTGGATTGAGATTTTTCTGTATGATTTCCAATGTTTAAGACTTGTTTCATGTGCTGGTTTCCCTAAAGGATAAAAGAGACAAATGAGTCAACCACAGAATGTCAATTACAAAAAATATTGTTGATATTTCCATCTCTGTTTATTGTTCTCACTGAATGGTTTATTCCTATTACGTCAGTTGATACATTTTTAGTTGAAGGTACTATTTAGCTTAGGTCCAAGGTTTGCTGTGGTGCAAATTGCTGTAAAACTGACTTCTCTTCAAAGCAATTTCTAGTTAAAATGATAGTTACTGGAAATTTTTGTCAAACTTTTTTTTCCCTGGAAGCAATCCAGTTTCAAGAAGTCTGCTTTGCTTATCCATCGAGACCAGATACTGATGTTCTCAAGGTAAAGTCATCACTATTTTGAGAAAAAATAAGATTTCCTTAGAAGTGAGCCTGTGTGTTAAAAACTGATTGTAAATACATGGTGTGATTTCACATTTGTCAGGGGATGTCATTTGAACTAAGACCTGGTCAGACTGTGGCACTTGTTGGGCCCTCTGGTGGTGGAAAGTCAACAGTGATAAGCCTAATTGAGAGGTTTTATGATCCAAAGTCAGGCATTATCACAATAGGTTGGTGTTAAATACCGTTCCTAGACTGACTTTCTGCCTCTCATTAGTGATGAACAAAATTAACTGCCATGTCTGCATGTTATTGTCCTCTCTCCAAAATTCTGGAGGCTTAGGGCTTGTATAAGGCAAAGGGCTTGTTTGGTATATTTTTTTCAAGAAAAAGAGAGAGAGAGAGGCAAAAAGTTGGAGTCAAACCTCTTCATTATCATGTTATAGGAGGAACAAACTTGGGTGAACTGGACTTGTTTTGGATGAGACGCAAGATTGCCCTTGTTAGCCAAGAACCAGTTTTGTTTGCCACAACTATAGCTGGTAACATTGCATATGGATGTGACGCCACTCAAGAAGAGGTTAGTACAACATCAATTTATTTAGTTGTGTTTCATACCAAGCAATACTATGTGGGCAGCCTTGACCATCTTCTGTATACCTCTATCAGAGACTCATGCTCACCCCAGGGCATGGGATGACTCAAATTAAACCATTCCAGTGTATGCAGCAAAATGAAATTGTTTGCTGGTAAATTCTTTACTTTCATGCCTGAATCAGTTTTATTCACTCTCCTCTCTCTGTCCATAGATAGAGGAAGTGGCAGTGCAAGCTAATGCTCATGCTTTTATCACAGAATTTGAGGTAATATACCAGTCATGCACTTAGTTGATCAAAATATTTATCAATAATAGTAATCAAAGTTTAACGTGGGGCATGGTTACCCATATTGCCCGAGCCAGAGGCTCAGGTATGAAATGCAAGACAACAACCCACCCATCCCACCCCAGGGGAGGACATCCATCACACAGTAATCTCGTGCGTGGGAAATTAACATCTCCTACCCCTAACCCTGTAGGAGACAGGACCTCCATTTATTCGTCCCTATCCGAGAAGACTAGAATATCTAAACCATTTCTAGATGTTATAGAAAGGCAGCATATTCTTCTCAATTATTTTAAGACCTTGAGTGTTGGTTCGGGTGGGGCTCGAACCCTTGACCTCCTGCACAACAGTCCAGCGCTCTATCCATTGAGCTAACCAGGAGGCGGTTAGCTCAATGGATGATGCTTTTAACTCATATCATTCTTATAGTAATGGATTATTGAATTAAACCACAGGAAGGATATCAGACTCAGGTTGGTGAGCGAGGCGTGAAGTTGTCTGGAGGTCAAAAGCAACGTGTAGCTATTGCAAGAGCTCTTCTGATGAACCCTGATATTCTTCTTCTGGATGAGGTATGTCTTGCTTCAAGGAAGATCGTTCAATTCAGCGATGGACAATTTTTCCCTCATAAAGAGGAGAAAGGAGTAAATACCATTGGGTTGTTATGTTCTGGAATTGTTTTGTTTGTAAAAAGTTAAGCAAGCATATGTTACATGTAATCCAAGGGAAATAACTGTAGTGGATTCCTGTTTTCAATCTTCCTTAGGCGACAAGTGCATTGGATGCTGAAAGTGAACATTTTGTGAAAGAAGCCATTGATCGGGCCATGAAGAATAGAACAGTTCTAGTAATAGCACATAGGCTCTCTACTGTGCGCAATGCTGACCAGGTTTGGTTTTTTAAATAGTTTGAAAGTCGTTGTTTGAGCTCTACTTGAAGATGTTTCTTTCTTTTGTTGATTTTAGTTGTTTAAGTATGATATTGTTTTACAATTTTAGATCTCTTTGTCAGATTAAGACACCCACATGGTTGAAGAAATCTTCCAGTTTAACTTTGTCACCTCAATGCTCTTTTGTATTCAGAATCCATGCCAATATGTGTTTGGAACCTAAGTAGTTCATGTTAGGTAATCTTCATTCCCATTGTAGATAAAGTATTACCTTTTTCTACAGGTATTGGTTATTGATAAAGGTCAGATTGTTGAACGAGGTACCCACAAGGACTTGCTGGCTAGTGAAGGTGTTTACAAAAAACTTGTTCTGCGACAGCTGAGTACTTCCCAAGGTGCCTCTGTTGCAGCTGATGACAGCTTTGATCCAGATCTTTGGGAGGCAGGCAAAACTCCAATCGATGAAGAGGAAGAATCCTAGTCAAACTGTAACAGTTACATTGTTCTCGTAGTCTTGTTTTTGTTATAGTGTTAATGAACTAGGGTTTAATTAATGTTATAGTGTTAATGAATTAGGATTTAGATAATAGGAACCATCACTAGGTGTAAGATGCACGACATGAGAGGTCGCAGAGAGTAAACATATATAGCTAAGTTGCATGCATATTGAGTGTGTGATATATTGTGTAACAGTAGTTTAGGTAGTGATTATTAAAGTTCAGTCGGCTGTTTTAACCAAGGATTGACGTCACTTTTCTGCAGTAAGACACAACAGTTTTAAGGCAAACATTAAGACACAATGAAGTTAAAGGTTTGATGAGTAGTTGTCTATAGTGTAGGACAAACAGCTCCAATCACCCACCTGATAGAGTAGAGCTGGGATGTTTGTGCTATTGCATCATTCACCAAATTTTGTACAGAACTAAATCAAAATTTCCGTTAGACAACAAATATCCTTATTTCTACACTGCAATTATCATTGTTACAAAGATATCAAGGTTTAGAGGGAGCATGACAGATCACTGATTCCGAAAGTTGATTTAAATAGTTGTGCTATAATCTGTTTTGCCTCTGAAAGCTGTAAGAAATTTTAACTTTCGATTTTTTTTTTTAAGATTTTCAAACTAAGGGTTGTTTGACTTAAACTAATATATTTTAGGATAAAGTGTGCTGGTTCACTGAAGGATAGTGTTGGTGTCATTCCAATGATCCCTTAACTATTGGGATCCATTTGAGTTTTTATACCATTTGAGTTTGTAAATGCAGACATTGCCAGTTTACACTGTCACACCATCATCAAAACCATTCAACAAATAAAGTCAAGAATCAAAGAGATAAAAGAAGGTCAATGTTCAAGCATGGTCACAACAGTTGAGCTTTGTGCAATTTATCATGCAGCATATATTCAATGACATGTTTTACTCAAATTTGTAAGGCTTTGTATGGAAATGCCATCTTTGTGTCCCTCTGAGGGGCACAAATATGGGGGCAGAAGCAAACAAAAACAGGTGTCATCAAATTTTTCTATAAAAAAAATGTAGACATCTGAGTGTTAATAAGCATTTAAATGAGTACTTATAAGGACTGAATAAAGGCTGATAGTTTCTAAAGAAACTGTTTGGGGCTGCATCGGTGGGGGTAACGGAATAATTTGGATATATCAACAAAGTTGAAATGGTAAATTGGCACCGTAACGATTACAAAAGCCGACGTTTTAAGCGTTAGCCCTTCGCTCGAAACGTCAGCTTTTGTAATCGTTACGGTGGCCAATTTACCATTTCAACTTTGTTGATATATCCAAATTACTTATAAGGACTGTTCAGTTTGGGAAATCTCAGCTGATTAGGCACTTTGTTTAACCTGCATGACAGCATTCTTGGCTGCCATTTTTATAGTGTCATGCTAATGCTTAGAAAGTGAACCTTGCTTTATCACAAGATGAAAACCCCTTCAAACTGAAAAGTTGTGAAAAGATAAGTCTTCAGCTGTTCTAATAACTGAGAAAAAAAAATCTCAAAAGGATAAATAATTTCTTGTTTATTAATTTTGATGAAATCACTTGAAAATCAAGAATTTTTTTTTTTATTAGGAATTAACATTAATCAGTAAAAACTAAAATATGTTTATTAAATTACTGGCTTTCTGATTGGCTGAACAAAGCCAGCTTATAGGCTTCTTACTAGCTCCCAGCTCATAACCTAACTGCAATAAATATGGTCAATGATTTCTTAAGTAAAGTCAAATAAATCTCACAATATCAGATTTTACTTCTCATCTCATTGGCATGCCTTTGTAGAATAATTTTAAAATAAACAGCACTGTGGAAAGTATATTGACGCAAATCATCAGTTATATTTTCTGGGGAATAAGGTAGCACAATCCAGACTCCCTGCTTTATCTGGAAGGGTTCATTAGTTGTTCCATCTAGTTAACTTGACAAATTTTCTTTCAAATCCACCTAACAAATACACTTGTACAAGCACACAAACATGATAGCTTATACTTCATCAATTTTTGGGCAGCATCACAAGAGAGCATACCATAGTCTGCACACGATAGAGTACAGGTGTTTAATAAAATATGCATTATTAACCAAGCGTAAGGTCAAGCTGGCTGGATATTGCCTGATTCATTTTTTGCATTTCTATGGACCAAGGCAAAGTTGAGGTACACAAAAATGTGAAAAATGAACAAGGCTAATATCCTGAGCCATCTTGACCAAACAAGCTTGGTTAATAACAGATTTGTTTCATTGCAAAAAGATTTGGCATTATTAAGATTTGAGAATAACTTGTTTACTTTGAGAGCTGGAAACAAAAGCCGACTGTGTTCACAGCACAACAAACTCACAAGAGTCATTGGTGTTTTCTTTGTTTTGACTATCTTCTGCCACTTTTTGCGTTTCCATTGCTGAAATTGTCCAAGAGTTATGAACTTAGTTCAAAATTGAAATTCTATTATTTCATGTGCAGGATCAATGCAGGCAATCCTGAGCAGGCAAGATGGAACCATCTTGCCTGCTTGGGTAGCCAATCAGAACACACGAATTGCTTCATCTTGCCCATGGGTGCTGCAAAAGCTGCATCCTTGAGAATTTCTCCATTGTTTGTAATGTTCTAAAAATGGCTGAGCCAGAATAGACACAATCCGTTGGCTCTCCAATTTGTTTGTAATTGTGTGTTTTAAAGAACTCCACAGCTTTGTATGCACTTTCAAGTCTTATTGGCCGTAGTCTTCTTCGCCTGAGTTCTTGCTCCATTGCATTTAACACTTGCCCACCAAAGCCTTGTCTCTGTAAAGTTTAACCCCATATCAATTAAAATCAATTGCCTTTTAGTTACTTCCTAGAGACCTGCAATTGTCCTTGATGGGACCAAATGTCTACCCTAATGATTCCTACTGATTTTGTAGTCTCATGAAAAAGTATTAACAGAAGAAATTATTTCTACAAACCGAAAAACATCTAACTTGACTGTGACCAAAACATTTCAAAGGTAGAATGTGGTCAACTCACACTGTGATTTTGGCTGAAAGCATTTCAGGATACTGGTTTGAAGAAGACATGGTTAAATGGGGAGTACACTGTTCTTACTTGGAATTTTCCTTTGACAAAGAGAAAGTTGATCCAGTGGAAGTAATGTATATTTGCTGGATCCTCAACATCATCCTTTGCCAGTTTGGCACAAATTACACAGACAACTGGATCTAAATTGGAGAAACACAAACATCCTGTTTTATAAATGGTCTAAGTAATTTTTTTCCTAGGTAATAACTCATGGTCAATCAATTAATCAGTCAATAAACTTTATTTACCCTCAAATTTACAGTGTAGCACTCAGGTGCTAATATCTTTCAGCCAACTACATTAATGAATAATTATAATAAAAAGTTAATTCTCTAACAAATTGGCTAACTACCTAGACAACTAACTAGCAAATTATCTTGATGTAGAAAGGTTTGCAGTTCCTGCCCTTTTAAGTAAATTATTGTTCCCAGTAGATAACAGTTGTCGAAAAAAAGGAAAATCAGTAATATTGTAGAGATGGTCAGGAAGAGAATTCCAAAATATTGCTGCCAAGTAATTAAAGGAATTGATAGCATAAGAAGTGGTCAATGGTTTAGGCAAAGAGAGTATATTATGTCCTCTTAAAAAATAGGTGCTAGAGCGCAAGCAAAACATATCTTTTAAATATCTTGGTTAATCAGAAAAATGTAGACATTAAAAAATAGTAAGAATCATGTTTTGTAAAAGCTTGTCCTTAAGGTTTACAGTTCCTGCCCTTCTAAGTAAATTATTGTTAGTAGTACAATACAATACGTTTCTCAGTAATTCCCAAAAGGGATTTTCAATACTAATTTACACTAACATATGAATATAAATTATTAAATCCAAATGAATGAACATAATGCTGAGAGAATAAATTATAAAAATATAAAACTATTAAGAATTAATCTCAAATTATTTTATCATTAAACGGGCCCTCAGTTCCGTTCAGGCTGAGCATTTGAAGCTGGTTATGTTTGTACAATTTTTTGTTCCATGAAGATTATAGCATGGTCAAAAAAGAACATCAGAGCTCTTGAAGTTCTTTTGAGTGTAATGCTTATGTTGTTCTTTTGCCTAGTATTATAGCAATGGATGGTGGAATGCTTGACCAACTTGATTTCGAGGTAATTTGGAGTAAAGCCATCTAGACATTTATATACCATAATGACGTCTCTGCACTGTAACATTTCATTTATGGGTAGCCATCTTAGTTCCTTAAGGGATAGTGAGATGTGGTCGTACTCCCTTTTACCAGTCAATATTCTAGCAGCAAAGTTCTGTAATAGCTGCAGTTTGTGAATGTTCTGCTGTGCTGTTCCTGACCAAATGGTAGAGTGATACAAAAGAATTTAAGATAACTAGAAGAGTATCTTTTGTAAACAGGTGTCGGACTCTGTTGATTTGACATAGCTTACCCATCAACGTGGATGATAGGTAATCTATGTGATCGTTAAATGATAGGTAACTATCAAATATCACTCCCAAATCGTTGCAGGAGGGGGATGGAGATAATTCTTTACCAAGGAAGGAGATAGTGATATCGCTCAATCTTCCATCCAACTGTCTTGTTTCAAAAAGCATGACCTTTGTTTTTTTGAGGATTGATCAGGAGCTGATTTGTGCAACACCACTCTGCTACTCTGTTAAGGTCTTGACTAATCTGACTAAGAGCACTGACATTGTCAATAGTTGCAAAGGACAAGAAGAGCTTTGTGTTGTCAACGTAAGACTCAACTGAACAGTTTTTGGTAGTATCAGGTAAGTTGTTCATATAAACTGAATAACACGGGTCCCAAGATGGAACCCTGTGGGACGCCACGAGTAACTATTAGCGACGAGGATATTGATGTTCCAATGTGAGTAGTTTATTCCCTATTTGTAAGGTAGCTTTCAAACCAATCAAGGGCATTCTTGGATGTTCCTAGTACCTGGAGTTTGTTTAGTAAGGTAGCATGGCTGATGCTGTTGAAAGCCTTACTTAAGTCAATAATTACCATAGCTGTAACTTTCTTCTCGTCAATAGCTTTGAAAAGGTGATCTGTGACTAGAAGGCTGAGGGTCTCGGTGGAATGATATCTCTTGTTACCACTTTGATTTTTGGTCAGGCGATTTTTGTGAGACAGGAAGGAGGTGAATTGTTGTAATGCCAGTTTCTCAGCCACTTTTGAAAGTACAGGAAGGAGTGAGATAGGTCTGTTGTTGTCTGGCACCTCATGATCACCTTCCTTAAGAAGAGGGACAACCTCAGCCTTCTTCCATGCGCGTGGAAAAATGGATGACTTCAACAACAGATTTATGATATTAGTGATGATAGGAAATATGTGAGGCAAACAGTCCTTGATGACTGAGACTGAAACTTTGTCGTATTCTGGGGCTTTATTATTGGGGATGACCATAATCACTTTACGAACATCTGAACATAGAACTGGTCTAAATTCAAACAGCTCATCTCGAGGAAGATTAGGACGACTTGAACTGAGCATATCAGGTTGGGTGTGTAGGCGATAAGTCTCAGCAAGTTTTTGTGATACCAATGAGGCTTTTTCCCCTACCGATATGAAGAAACAATTGAGCTGCTCTGCTAGAAGAGAAGAATCTTTAGTGTATTTAAGATTAAAATTTGATTTTAGTGGTAAGGCACAGCGTATCGTTTTCCATAGTGATACACTGTTGTTCTTGTTGGAGAGAATCTGATGGTTGTCATCTTTGGTTTCTGCTTTTTAAAGGGCTAACTTTACTTTGCATCTTTGCTATTTGAAGGCATTCCAGTCACTGAGTGATCCACTCTGGCGAGCAATCCTGTGTAAAATTATTTCTGTTCGCAATCATTTCTCTGATGTCATCTGTGGTAAAGGGAATTGATTTACATTTGACTTTGACTGTCTTGATAGGGGCGTGGTTGTTAAGATAAGCCAGGAATAAATCATTGAAGCCATCAACCTTTGCTTCAAGAGAGTCCATCAAGTCCAATGTATTCCAAGGGATGTGCCAAATGTCAGAAGAAAACTGTTCTGCTTTATAGTTCTTATAGCTGTGGGTGGTGATATAGGATGAGATTTGGATTTGGGTATCTTAAAGTCCAGAACTGCATAAACCAAAAAGTGATCACTGATGGTCACATCCACGACACCACTGTCTTTTACTAAGTTAGAATCAGAGGTCAGTACAATGTTAATTAACATAGAGGACGATCTGGTCACTCTGGTTGGATCTTTAATTACCTGTGTTGCGTTCAATGCTGAACAAAACATGTGTAAGGCATCTCCTCGGGGATTGTCCACCAATAGATCGCAGTTTAGATCACTTGTAAGTACAATGGGTTTGTTCAGAGAAAGGGCGTGTGTGTAACTGGGCATTAGATCGTCCGCCAGGCAAGAGAGGGCACAATCTGGTGGCCTAGTATATACAACACAGACAACCACAGACTTGAGATGTCTATGTTGTCTCTGGAGCCACAGTTGTTGCAGGCCTGAATCTGATGTGCAGGTTAAATCCTTTAAAATCTTCACTTTAAGGGTACTTTTAACATAGGCACAAACTCCTCCACCTTTTTTATGTAAACGATCTAAACAGAAGATGTTGTAGCCCTCAAGATGCTCGCTAGCGTTGGTGACACATATTAAACCATGTCTCTGAGAATGACAGGACATCAAAACCTCTCTCGAAGGCCAATTCCTTGACTTCAGTGAAGCGGGCTCTGTTTTTCAAAGACTCTGCATTTAGATGGGCTATACTTATTCGCTAGCGTTGACCACCATGCTTCGAGGATTTAGGCGAGTTATTACTCGGATGACTTGAGAAACGAGTAGAAGTTTGGACATCAATGAGATTATTGATGTTTCTGGTACAGTGATTTGCAGATTTCTTTGTCGTTAATTCTACGGGTCATGTTGTAGTTCTCACGGGAATTGAGATACCATTGTCTTGAATTGTGTGACTAATATTCAAAATTGGAACTGAATAATTTAAGCAGAATTGAATGTTGTTTGTGACAAAAAATAAATTCTGTAAATCAGTTTCTTCATTTTGTAGAGTAAAATTAATACTGTTGTAGGCATGTAGAAATATGTCCGTTCAATCGAGAGACAGGTGATGATGATACCTGGAAAAATGTCCCAAATTATTGGAGCGTTGAAGATTGAAGTTGTTCGTAATTCTTGTATCTGTATTATTGCTTGCCCAGACATAAGAAACTGCAGGAGACCCAGAATTAAGAGGTTGCACTCTTATGCATCGTTTCACCTCAGCGCAACCCCAACCTGGGTTGGGGTGAACGTCAGTAAAAATTGCAAAGAAGGCTGGGTTTCAGAGATATCAATCAGACTGAATTGTGTATGATCTTGTGTTTATTTCATTCAACCAATGTTAAGAGTATCTGATTAGTGACGTACATAAAGATTAATTATACGTCTATAATTGACAGGTAATGTCATGATTTCATTACACTGGGAGACTGACATTGGTGTTAAATGGTAGGACAACCACTGTAGAGCCATGTTTGTTGTATGTTGTATGGGTCAACTATCTAGTCAAACTGCTCAGCTGATAACTTAACAAGAATCCTCAAGCAAAAATATGCAAAAATATGCTGCCCAAGTAATTTTGGGAGCTGACACGAGATCAAATAGCATAAATCTTTTTAATAAATTAGGTTGGCTCCCATTTTATGATGAAGCTAAAATCAATAAGTGCTCATTAGTCCTTAAGCGCCCTCAAGGAAACTGCCCCAGCTACATGTATGACCTTCTTAAATGCAATGCAGATTTACACACACGCAGTGGGTGGTACAGTGCCTTAAACCTCGTCTGCCACAGATATAATCGTGAAACTGAAGGAGGGAGAACTTTTAGCATGTCCACAACCAGGCTTTGGAACTCTCTGCCCATTAACCTTAAGAAAGTAACATGTGTAACCTCATCTAGAAAGGCTATTTATAAACATTTTTTAACCAGATACAATGATGTTGATCATTTTAGCATAGCTCAAACTTAATTTTATTCATAGTTTATGCTAATCCAACATTTCATAACCTTCCTCTCACTCGACCTACCCCAGCTGTATTCTTATTGTAATTATAGTTTGTAGATATTCATTGTAAGAGTATTTTATAAGTGTAATATAGTTTCTACTATTGTTAGTCCTATTCATACATACACTTACACTTCCTTTTCTTTATGACATGTATTTTGTTACTTAACTTTGTTTACAAATTTAGTTTGAGGGCTACTAGTTACTCAGTTGAAGTACTGTCCCGTGTTACCCTCGTTAAATAAAGTTGATTATTATTATTATTATTATTATTATTATTTGGTGCGGTTAATGACTGATAGTTTCAAGGAACTTGAATGAGAGGAGGAAAGCTGTATATTAGCTTTATAAAGCACCGGCAAAGAACATGGCAAGGTAACTTTGATGTTCGACGGTGTAAAATAGGTAAAGACGTAGAGCAGAATAATGATGCATCCCAACGCCATCGCTCGCTTCAACTGATATCTGTTAATGAAGAACAACCCTCCTATGAAGAACAACCACTGCAGAGCCACGTTTGGTGCAGTTAATGACTGATAGTTTCAAGGAACTTGAACGACAGGAGGAAAGCTGTGTATTAGCTTTATAAAGTACCATTGGTCTCCTTCAGAGCACACGCCGGTGTGGTTTTAACATCTTTCCTCTCTTGGTTGTTCGTCCATTGCAGGGTTATTCAGAGTTAAAATCCTTGAAAATAAATCGAAAAATACGTTTGTGTAAAAGATCCAATTTTTCAGAATCTTGTTTACCAGGGAACTGCCTCACCATAGAACAATAATGAAAGTGAGGAAGTATAAATGCCTTATAAAGACATAGCATGGTTTCAATAGACATCAGTTTGCCAAACCTTCTCTTAATGCTAAACTGACTGTTTACCTTTTTACATATAGAGAACACATGTTGCTTAAATGTAAGATCTTTATCAATTGTAATGCCAAAAAGTTCCACTGATTCATTTACTGAGAAATTAAACTAATCAGTTTTTCCTAGTATCATCCCTTGGTGTTTGCTGGGATTTGCTATCATTCCATTGATCTCATACCAGGCATTTGTTGAGGTTACGTCACATGAGATATGCCTTTCCAAAGATACCAGATCTGCATCGGCAGTGTAGAGTTGACCACCATCTGCATGCATATTTAACTGTACCGTTTTAATTTGTAGGCATAAATCATTTATGAAAATATTAAAAAACATTGGTCCAAGAACACTGCCTTGAGGTACTCCTCGCCTGACTTCTTGCATATCAGAGCTTGTATTACCTACTTTCACCTGCTGCATCTTACTGTGTAAGTAATCTTTAAGATGCATACAACTTCTACTGTTGACACCATAAGCCTTCAGCTTAGCCAGCAAAAGCCCATGCAGTATTGTGTCAAAAGCCTTAGATAAATCCACTGATATTACTGCAACAACTTGTTTATTATCCAAACTATGCTTCCAATCTTCTGTTAACCTCATTAGCGAGGTTTCACAGCTATAGTGTCTCCTATATGCTGAGATGTAGTCAGACAATAGTTCAGAGTAGAACTGGTCTAGTTGAGAAGCAAGGAGGTTCTCAAAACATTATTTAGGGCTGGTAAAACAGTAACAAGTCGATAATTCTCTTTACTCAATCCATCATTTTTCTTGAAAAGAGGTGTTGCGTGTCTCATTTTCCATCAAGAAGGATATTTACATTGTTCGATCCATTCATTAATTAACTCTGCTAGTGGACCAGATATCACAGAAGCGGATTCCTCAAGAAGCTGTGGAGTTATGGTGTCGTGGCTGCAGGCCTTGCATGCGTTGATGTTTAGTGGTAGTTTTTCAACCTGGTTCTTATTGGTGTACTTAAAATTAAAATTATGTATGGCGTTCCTTGCTCTGTTTTCCTCTGCAATTGCTTGAATGCTGGGGTGTGCACTAAATTCGTGTCCAAAGTTATGTTCTTTAATGTCCTGTACATCATCAATGATGTGAACAGAGTAGTTGTTGAACTATTCAGCTAATTCTTTTTTATCCGTTATAACCACATCGTTTTCAATTAGCGTAATATCATTGGCTTGTTTACCTGACCTTGAATGCATAAAAGGATGATAAGCCTCCCAAAATGCACATGGATTGTTGGTCTCTGACTTGTTTTGAAATGATTTTTAATTACTTTGCGCCTAATTGATGTGCATTTGTTTCTTTGATTCTTATAATTGGTGTAATTAGCGTCAGTCTTCTGATGCGTGAACTTCTTCCAAAGTTTGTTGCGGTGACGAATGGCTTTATGCCATTGTTCATTTATGAAAGGAATTTGATTGCCCCTTATGTGTGCTTGCTTTTGTGGTGTGTGTGCTTGTTTAGAATGTCAAGGTACAGTGACTCCAACACATATTGTCAAACACCTCCATAACGTGGAAAGAGATGTTATGTAAATCATGCAGAAATAAATCCTGGTTAAAAATTCTTTAGACTTCTTAATTGTATTTTGCGAGATCACTCAATTTTTTTCCAACAGAGTAAAATTAATCATCTGTAGTTATGTTTTTCAAAAATTAATTTTAAATCTGGAAGCATGTAGAAATTAGTGAGAAAAAGGTGTTTCTGCGAAAGAAAAGTAATTTAATCAGTAAAGTGCCCAAATCTTTGCGAGGCATTAACTTCCCTGTAACCTTTTCACAGCAAAGTCTTGATTTCAACCTATTTGTATGTACTGCTAACACTTGATTTTAAGCACCGTGATTTTCAAGTACAGACAAGTCGGTTTCTCAGCACGAAGTGTTCAAGGAATGGTGGTTCGCCCAACCTTTGGCTTTTTTCCCCTCAGTTTTAACCCCCAAAGCTGACTACTAATTGTACAAATAAGTTCTCGAGACATGCCACTTCAGCTCCAGCCTTTCTGTTCTAACACATTAAGTAACGGTAGGTTTTACCGTGCCTTTCTCGTCCAGTTTCTCTCCAAACATCACCAAGTCGTCCTCTTGTGGCTCCATCGATTCTCCACAGGTATCTCTAGCAACCTGACGGAACTTCCGTCTGTTCTGCGTGTTTAATTGTACTTGATAAATATGGAAACCACGTTCAATCCATTCATCACTAACAACAAAAAGTAGCAAGTTAAAATGCATGCTTAATATTTATTCATCCGTTTTGGGAGTGTCAGCAGTATGCCACATAACATAGGTAATTGTAAAAGACATCTATTGTAGAACTAGTGTGGTTAAGCACCGGTGAAAGGCCGAGAGGACTCAATCATTTGATGAAAAAAAAAAAAAAAGGAAAACAAAAACGAAAACAAAAACAAAATTTTTCCTACCTCATTTCCCCATTTGGTTCTCTGAAATAGAGCGGCTAAAAAGAGTAATTACGCTCACTTCCCAGAGTAGGAGTTGTCAGGTCGCCCGCCATGTTTACCTCGCTATGATGAAGTTAATTAGCACCCAGATCTCTAACCATCCACGCAGGACAGAGTGGGGCCGAGCAGATAAATGAAAAAAATAAATTCAGAACTGACAGAAGGCTAGCGTTTGGCTTGATAACGGACTCTTCAAAGACAACTTAAAAGAAATCTACTATATAGACCACTTTCATGAATGGCTGCCAGATTAATATGCTTTTGTTTTAACTTAAATTAGCCCTCGTTCTCCAATACAAAATTCAAAAGAATACGTTATTTCAAGCAGGCCAGAAGGGCTAATTTAAATATAAACAAAAGAATATTAATCCAGCCGCCATTTATGAAAGTGGTCCATAGAAAATTAATTTATAAAGGTTTTTCCTTTAAAAGACTATTGTCTACAGTCTTGGTTGGGAAAACTTGGTGCCCCTATCTTTAACACTTGACCTGAGGAAAGATTGCTTTTTTAGCTCACTCTAACTTTGAAAGAAGTTGAAGGGGAACCATTTACATTTGCTCCTTTTGTCTCATGAACAGAGTACTTTTTTCTTTACAAAGTTGCTTTTACAACAGGAAAAAATGGCAGCATAAGATGCATGTTGCTACTGATATAGGACAATTTTTGCAGCAATGAAAAGAGCCTGAGGTTTTATAATGAGCCTAAAAAAGGAACTGTTCCAATAGATTCGCCTCACATGCAAAAAAAAAAGACCACATATTCTCACAAGAGAAAGATGATTCAAGAATATAATGACTAATTAACACTCAACCAATGATTTAATGGGGAAAAAAGAACCATATTGTGTTTTGATAAAATTCATTGTGACCCTTGTAACAACCAAGTCAACAACACCATGCTCACATAACCAAAACCATCTCAATAAGCCATACTACTTTCCTGCACTCTCTCTCTACAACAGGTTTTCTGTGACATTTTCTATTTGTTGTATCACCAGTAGCTCATGAAATAACCACTACAACATCAGCTACCAATATGAATTATTTACCTTTACACTATTCTACATGTACAAAAAAAGTTGCAACAGAACAAATTTAGCATAACTGTAGGAAGATGACAACTTAGCACACATCTCAAAGCATGGTAGGATATCATAACAAAATTATACCACATCGTCCTTTTAAGGAAATTTGCATTAGATGAGGGCTCAAAAAACATAAAGAATAGCAGAAAATGAATGAATGTAAACAGGAAACATAAATTCTCCAGCATCAAACGGTAGGATTGACTTAATGCTTTAAGCACTAACTTAACCCTTACTTTTATTTTAAATTTAGTAACTACATCAACATCAGAGTCACCTGATCCAGATTAAAGAAATTCATTACTTTGTTGTTTTAAATTATCATACTTTCACCAATAAAAGATTATCATATAAGAGTTAGAGTCTTTCAATATCATCACTGAAAGCTATTTATTCATTTATTTATTTAATAGCTTCCCCAACTGGCAGGGACACCGCAACAGCTTGTGCCAATTACTGTGGGCCCAATAAACCCACCCATCCCACCCCAGGCGAGGACATCCATCACACAGTAATCTCGTGTGAGGGAAATTAATGTCTCCTACGTCAACCCTGCAGGAGACAGTACCTCCATTTATTCGTCCCTATCCAAGAAGACTAGAATATCTAATCATTTCTTGATGTTATAGAAAGACAGCAAATTCTTCTAAATTATTTTAATACCCTGAGTGTTGGTCTAGCCGGGGCTCGAACCCTCGACCTCCCGCACAACAGTCCAGCGCTCTATCCATTGAGCTAACCGGGAGACAGAAAATCAGACAAGTAAATGACATGGGGCAGAAATCAGACGAGTAAATGTAGATGTAGATTCATTTATACTTGAATTTATGGAGCTTGTCAGGTGCCTAGCTTAGATAGCTAATGAATCGAGTAGAAAATAAATGAAATATACCGGTAATACTAAAAAAGTAAATGACATTCCTAATCACCTCTAACAAAATTTAAGACGAGAAGCTGACAATCTAGCATTAACTTACTGTAGTCATAGTGTTTTCTATAAGTTGTCAGTTGGCCCATTGGGAGAGCTAGAGGAAAGACACAATTTCATCAAATCACAAAGGGCAAGCAGAACATCAGCATTTTCTAAAAATTGTTACAAAGTTTGAAACTTTTATTGGTAGAATAGAACCTAATCCCTCCAGGCTCCACTGAAAACAAAGAACTTTAATTCAAATATCTACACGCCATTTTTATTTATTTAAAACTTACACTATTGTTCATCATAATTTTTTTATAATTCCTGTTTATAACAGACCTGATAGTGTTTGTCACTCCGGCAATGTTAAAGAAGTCTAACGATAACTAATATCACCAAGAAAGTTAATATGAAGTGTTCCCTGAGTTATAAATTAAACAGTTATGCACAACTAGAAATGAATGTCTACAAGAAACTTCACAAAGTAAAGTCAACAGCTACTAACAAAACAGAAGTGTTAAAGCTGTTCTTAGTCCATAGAAGACATGTTAATTAGATGTATAAGGAGGGGGAGACTCTTTGGGAGTGTCCTTGACAGCATCCTCATAATTTGGCAGCAGACTGTGAGTCTGTAAAAAAAGAAAAAAAGGTTTGAGTGGGATATTGTTACGTAAGCAACTTGTGGTTAACAACATTACATTTTGACTTACAATTATCACGGATGTCAACTCCCAAACAAAGACAGGACATCAAAGTCTGTTAGAGCCAACTTTGCTGCATTTGTACGCACTTTTAATTTTACATTATACTTTGACTTCTTTGCATTTTTATGATGTAAGTTTCAAACAATTCCATTCATGTTGGTAGAAATCACTTGCCAAAAATCACCCTGCAAATAATGCTTTAGTTTCACTATTCACAAACTGATCATAATCTTTGTGATATCAACATGTTTTACTTCGTTTGACGTTCCATTATTAAGATTCTACACCTAGCTTCTGAGTCCCTTTCCCTTTTTGCAATGTACTACTACATCTTAGCTTTCATTTGATATGAGTTTCACATGGGAGGCTACACGATAAGTCAATTTGCCACCAGTGGTGAATTGACCTCGAGTTGTGGTGAGTTTTGTGGTAGCAAGTTTCCTGTGGTGGGGAATTGACTGTAAATCTCATACAAAATATGGTGAGCTACAGATTAAGTTTCTCCTCAGGTAAAACAGGTTTACATCGGTTGAATAGGCCTGCACAAAGCCACATTTCAGTTTGACCTTAGCCAGGTTAAAATACTCTGATCTTCATAGAAAGACCAAATCAAACTAAGAAAAATTCTACCTAAATGGACAATTCTTACCTCAGTTTCATCTGACTGATTGATTTGAAACATGAATGCATTTCTGGCCTTCTTCACATGGAAACTGAGCAGAATTTTGTAACATGACCAAACACATGCAATCAAGTAAGCCTGGAAAATAAAAAAAATTATCCGTTCAGAGGTATGACAACCACTGCTTACTTCTCTCTCAAGACTGTGATTCAAACTGTATACAACAAAATTTGCATTTAACCAAGGATAACCGCCTCCCGGTTAGCTCAATTGCTTAGAGCGCCGGATTGTGTTGTGCGGGAGGTCGAGGGTTCGAGCCCCAGCCGGACCAATACTCATGGTCTTAAAATAAGTGAGGAGAATTTGCTACCTTTCTATAATATCAAGAAATGGATAGATATTCTAGTCTTCTCGGATAAGGACGAATAAACCCTAGGCCCCGTTTCCTGCGGGGTTAGGGGTAAGAGACGCTAATTTCCCACGCACGAGATTACTGTGTGGTGGATGTTCTCCCCTGGGGTGGGATGGGAGGGTAGGTGCAATTGTTACATGGACTGAAGCAGCTACCAGAGGCGCCTGATAATGCTAACGTCCGATCTCAACCTTATCATTGTAACTAGACACGTTTGTTGTTTAGAGTGCTTAAGACTTTCTTTCTTAGGATAACTCTCTCCAAAACATGTGAGTTACCCCCCAGTAATCATTTTATCGAGGGTTACAACAACCACAGGCCAGGTTACCTTACCTTGATGGTAAGAATTGTTACAGACACCATCACAACTGTCATCATTAGAGTCGTCATGTCCATTTTGTCCACAGCATCACCAACAGGGAAGTTGGGCTGTAAAACAACACCATGAGTTACTTATTAACTATACTCTGATGCAACCAAAAATGAAAATGACAAGGTCAACAAAAATGCTGAAAAGACTAGAGTGGAACCCTGCTAACTTGAACCCATTATTTGTTTCCCTTGGGACTTCAAGTTAGTAGGGTTATACAATTTATCTTAGGAGGTTTAACCATAAATGGCAAAAAAGAATCAACACCTTTGCCTTAGTACATCATTGCTTATATTCAACCATCCTGAACCAGAACCTTTTCTGCCGCGCAGAATATAGCTCAATTGGTTAGTGCGCCAGATTGTGTTGTGCAGGAGGTAGGGCGCTCGAGCCCCAGCCGGACCAATACTCATGCTCTTAAAATAACTGAGGAGAAGTGGATAGATATTCTAGTCTTCTGAGATAAGGATGAATAAACCGTAGGCCCTGTCTCCTGCAGGGTTAGGGTTAGAAGACGTTAATTTCCCATGCACAGGACTACTGTGTGGTGAATGGCCTTCCCTGGGGTAGGATGGGTGGGTGTTGCCCTGAAAAGCCCCTATGAGGAGTGGTCAATTGACCTATGAATGTATCTATGCTAAAAAAGGTGTCTGCTAAAAAGCAACTTTAAATTATTTTTTGAGCAAAAACAGAGCTACAGAAAACAATCCATTCACACAATATCCTGATGATAAGAATGAAAAGCACTTACATTGAACTACCCTCCCAAACTTAACACTTACATTGTTCTTTAGCATGAGTTTCAGCTCAGGTATATAACTGATTGCACCAACAGCACCCAACAGATTCACACAGAAATCAAACACTTGCATACAAAAGAAGGGCAGCAGATAAGTTGGCTCACGCTGAAACACAGATAACAAAAAGTCAATTTAATCCTTTACTGATCTCTGAAATACACTGAATAACAGATATTGCCAGACGATAGAGTTCTCAATAAAAATGTTTGATTGCATTCTAAACAATATCAAAGACATATTACTTACAGTAATGGCACCATAAATCAGCAAAATTGTAATCAGAAAGGAGAAAAATGCTATGGCCAGTGCAACTGAGTTATCAGCTGAAAACATGAAACAAAACATTCTGATTTAACCACATGATGCACGCTTTGTAACTGTGTGAGGTAAATAAAATAAACAGCCTTAAAAATTCAGAGTTACAAAAAGAGTCCTGCTTAAGGTTCAAGATGAAATTTGGAAAAAGTAAAGCAATCAGCAAGATTTAAAAGTTTTCTCTCCAATAAAACCTTTCTTGGAAGAGAACAGCACAACAGATTAGAAATGCTAGTTAAAAAAAAAACAAACAAAACAAAAAATACTGTAATTCCAGAATGTTTTTCAGACCACAAGAGCACATCAGAGCTTTGCTTTCCTACAAACCTGATCGTGGTGTGGTGCCATAAGTTTCAAAGTACCTCTCCTGGTACAGTTCTGGATGTAGCAACATTTGAGTTAACACCACCAAACCAGCAATGTGAATCAACTAATAAATATAACAAAAAATCTACCTGTTATTGTAAGCTACTGTAGCCACCTTTTTCAGATAAGATGTTGGAAAATTTTTTTTTTTTTTTTATGTGCAATACAATATATCAAGGAAGTAATAAAAAGCACAAGTAAATAGAACATCTAAGAATTAGACAATTGGGGCATCACAGAGTCAAGGATGGGCAACTTCCTATGGTTTGGGAGAAAGGGCTATCCCAAACATCAGAGATTGAGATTTCCAGGGAAAGTGATTCAAAAACACAGGATGAGGATTTCAGTTCAAGAAAGTTACAGCTAAGATTGGTTAATTTCCCAAGGGAATATTAAGAAAATGTTAGCACTTTTCTCACAAAATTCCAGCAGTTAGCCTTACAGCATGCTTACTAATCAATATTCATGTTTTTTCTTTTAAACAAAATAGGTAGTATCCATGATTTAAAATACGAACAACGCGGATGAAATCGCATGAGAATAACATAAATACGCCCATAATCGTGGACTGATACACGCGGAGAGTACAGCTTTCGTAATTTTTGGTTTCTTTCGTCGACCGGCTTCTGATTAAACTTTAAGAATCTTATAATGTAAGAAAAGAACAAAGATTATTTTTATCCCAAATAAAGGTTTGTAAGAAGGAATGTACATTGCTAAATTTAACTTCATTCCGAAGAGACTCGAAAGCTTCGAATCACTATGATTCGAAGCTTTCGAGTCCGACGACCTACACGTAAATCGGTACGGAAACCGAAACTGAACCCATGAAGCGACCAATACCAAGGGTTAAAAAGCCGGCACAAGCTAACTTTCATTACAAACATCAGAACTGAAAACTGAGAAAGAAAGCGTCAAATTACCAGATGGCAAAATCCTAGCACAATTGTGCCCAGTCGAACGTCCATACAGCAACAACATGTCTTCATAACCGAATTCTCGCCGTCTACATCATCAGATATTCTCCTTGGCTTCATCTTTCGCCAAATTCAAAGCTCAAATACGCGCGCGATTGACCCCCAAACTACCAACAATATTTCACAGTAATGACAATATACCACAGCTAATATGGCGAAACGAACCCACAGATGAGAAGAGAATTGTGGGAAATATGATGTCATTAGCTTATTGCAATGCATTGTTGGATTCTTTGGTAAGGACCCCAGGTGCTTCAGGTGCTTTTTCTTAGGCACATTAATTCGTAAGAACAGGATGGAAGAAAGACCTTTTACAGTGGCTGTTTTCTTTGGGGTTATTTTGATTGCTTTACCTTATCTTGGTAATTTTGTTGTGCTTCCGGTGTGGGATAATCTGAACATAGGATTATGCTTATTGGCTTTAATTGTGTGTAATTTTGTCTACCTAACGGAATACCTCGGGTTATTTCCTCTCAGTTACAGGTAATGTAATTTAAGCTTAAGTCAGATAATAAGTAGCATAATTTCTAGAAATCAAATATTAAGTTATCTCTTTAGGTGTTAATAGCGGTCAAGTGAATAAAGGTCGATCAAATCTTCAACCCGTCCCCCATCCCCTGTCCACCCACCACCCCCCACCATCTTCCCCGCAACCCTCTGGACATCTGGGCTTTTAAAGATTGGTTTGTTAAAATTTCAAGCAGCTGTGGTCCAAAGTTGTGTTCAAATGCCCAAACAAAGTGCAGGATTTGATGATCAACTTTTTAGAAAAAGGCAAGATTAGCACCCGTGACTTTCTCGAAGAATTTTTCTTCTTCAAAATTATGGGCCTGTCAATTATTGACAGGCCCATAACTTAAAAAAAATCTCCCTAGGGTTGTGGACCTCTTGAACTTCACCCTTGTCCCTCTTCTGATGAGTAAATTGAAAAAAAAGACAGATTCTTAGGAGCTTCCAGGACTAATGAAATCTTCTATTTCTTTAAGCAAATTTTCCTCAGATGGAGAAATAAATGCACAATTTGGATGGTCCATCTGCTATGGTGCACCTCTAGTGGTGTATGCAGTATTGTGGTATTTGTCTGGAATGCCTCAGTCAATCTTTCAACTTGTATCTCTGGCAACTTACTTGGGTCATTTCATAAAAAGAATCATGGAAGCCCTTTTCCTCCACAAGTATTCCAAAAAAATGCTTCTTCTTCCAGTTATAGAGGTATGATAGTTGTTGTGACATTTTGATCTGGATGCTGGTTTGTTCAAATGTGTTACTCGCTATTTTCAGCAAGGATGTTATGAAAACTTCATAAATGTTCCTAATCAGCAGCCCACAAACTTTCTGTTTGAAGTTCACACTTTGAAACTTGATTGTTCTGTTTTAATATAATTCTGATTTTCCGTGCTTTATGAACACATTACTGCAGTTGGGTATGGCTTTTGCTTGTCAGTGACTAGAAAGAGAATAAACATCAAATTTTGAAAATTAATGTACGTGCTCTATTCTTGGCATTTCAAATCATTTAAAGTGACATGTAATCTCTTGTTTTGCCAGATTTCCATGTTTTACTGTCTTGGTGCAGTCATCCAGCACTACTGGTGTAATATTTACACACATGGACTTTTTGCTGATAAATTGTCATCTAACTACATGGCAATAATGGTCGGCATACTAGTGTATGTCATTGGTGAATCCTTAAATTTCTATCATCACTCTATTTTGGCTAATCTGCGACCTGCTGGTACATCGACTGGTTATGCTATTCCACATGCAGGATTGTTTCATTATGTTGTGTGTCCTCATTATCTTGGGTTGGTGTCATATTTATTATCTTCATGTACCTAGACATGATATTGCACGTGATAGGAAAACTCTCTTGGAAAGGTGACCTGAATATTAGACCTAACAGACTTCACTTTTCAGTTGTCTTCAGTTGGTCATATTAAGGGTGGTAAGCAGTCCTTATGACAATTTAAGCGTGGTAAGCAACCTAATGTCAGCAGGAATCAGGAGTAAGTTCACTGACTCGTAAAGCTCTGCAATTTCTTCCCCATGATAGTTGTTGGGGAGTGTAATGGTACAGCAATACTACACTCTATCTTCCAATTTTAATTTGATGAAATCTTGCCCAGGATCATACCATTTTTTGTCCAACACCACACTTTCCAAACATAATCATAATTGACACTGCAAAATCTCAAATTTAGCCACACATTTGTCATTACAACTAAAGGAAGAAGTAATACTATCAAGGTCAAAATGATTTGAGAAAATTGAACTACCTGTCCAGTTAGTTATTGTCTATTTTAACACTCGTGTCACTTGTTTGTTCCTTTAGAGAGTTGATTGCTTGGTATGGCATGGCTCTAGCTGGTCAGCATCTGGGCATGTACCTAGCTTGGCTAGTTATGGTCTGTTACTTGTGTGGAAGGAGTCATCAAACACATCTTTGGTATCAAAAGAAAATTGAAAACTTTCCCAAGGACAGGAGAAACATATTTCCTGGAATCTTCTAACAATGGGATTGTCATGTGTTTATTACACTTTTTATGTAAACGTTACTGACGTCAATTGGGGAAAGTACATTTTTTCTGGGCAATTTTGGTATTTTTTCCCAAAAAGTGTTGGCCCTTCCTTGCATTTTAATAAGAAAAAAAAGTCCTGATCCCTACCTTTAGGTGACTGACAAAAGTGTGACCCTTCCTTCACTACCACATAGTATGTTCCATGCCATAGAAACCCCCAAAACATTTCACTAGTGAATACAAAATATTTGAAAATAAAATATCTCGATATTGAATGTGTCAGCTGAAACAAGAAAATGAACAATCAGTATGGGATATTTATGTTTTCTGGCTGAAGTTTGAATATGGAAATATAAACTTTCAGTATTATAAAAGTTTTCAAAAGAAAATATGGAAGTGTAAATAAACGAGCTTCCTTCTCAACTATATGGCATTAAAATCCGACTCTCAAATAATTCACCATGTTTTCAATATTCTCAGAAATGAGAGATTAACTCTTTGGCAAATTTCTATCGGTCTGAATTTTTTACTGTGGAGTTGACTTTTACACGTGTTTTACTTATACATGTCTGTTAAAGGCAGCCAGGCCCTATTGGTACTCACTCTCACCAATAACCCTCCCCTCTGAGGCCCTAGCCCTTACCCCCGAGGAAAAAACATACCTTCCCTTAGGATCAGCAGCAGCTTAAACTTTGTTTGGAATGGAATCACAGCAAATGCATTTTTTTAAGTATTAGTTAAGAAAACCTGTAGGAACTGTAAGGATACAGTAGCTGTGTAGACTTTATTCTGTAGTGTTGTTAGACAGCATTTATAATTCACGTGGAAACAGGAGTCCTTACATTAAGCATAATGAAGACATATTGGTGGCTGTTCAATTAAAGGGCTCATCCTCAGTGTAAAAACCTGTGAAGCTCACCAGTGACGTAAAACAAAGACAACAAAACATTATAGACAATAGCGTACAGCAAAACAATACCTCATGAAACAAAGAAAACCTCATCAGGTTTTTACACTGAGGTTGACCAAATTAAAGTCAGCTAGGTTGATATTAAATGTGATCATACATATGGGCATAGGTTATTTAAGTTGCTGTAATTAAAATAATTTCTAGGTTTTTTTTAAAATTATATAAAATTAGACAATTAAGTTTCTGATAATCTGTAGGGAGAAAATGGAAATAAAATGTTTGCTTCAAGGCACTTGTGGTGTTTCACAATACTTTATTCCTATGACAACAGAATGTTTCCAGACCCCTCTGCTGTACAATGGTAAGGGATGGCTGGAGAACTATTATGTTCTAAGTAATCAAAGATTAAAAAATTGAGAAGCTTGGACTTCATTATTCAAAAGATGGTCATGCTGAAAAAACCATACAGAACAATGAACCCTAAGAAACAAAGTGGTAAATATTTATTTAAATAAATATTGATGGTTATAAATTCCCCAAAACAAGTTCAAGTAGCAAAAAGCTTTCAAAATAGTCAAGATGGCCAACAGTGAAAAAATTATAAAATATATGCTCTGCTCCATGAGATTAAATGCTTGTTGCAATTCCCATTAATGACCATAAGCAACTTGTTCTGTTCTCGGTAGGGGAGAGATGCACTTATAATATTGGCTAATTTGTCATTGACCAGTTTGATACTAAAGCTACATTGGTGCCAATTGCTTTGGGAAACATTTACCGACATGAAAAATACTCGGTTTCCTTGTTAAAAATCACTTTGTCAGAGGCATTACGGCACATTTTGCGGGTTGAAAAGTATCTCAAACTCATGTGATTGTTAAAGACCATTTTTATTAATGGTAGTTTTTCCAGGTTTTTATTTTCTCAATGCCCTCAAAAGTATAACAATAGAATAAAGTTTAAGTTCTTGTGCATAAATGAGGTTTGAGCCCTTCTCAGAGTTATTTTAACCCTCACCACTAACATGTCACTGAGTCAGGCCCAAAACATATTTATACCCATGAATATAACTCCATTGTTTTATTTTACTGCTTTCCTACACAAAAATTGTTGGAGCAATGAATAAAAAGCAGCAAGTTGATTAAAGCAACTTAGTCTGAAATCAAAGCACGTCACAGACAGCCATTGCTTTTATTTTCAGTAATTGAACCCTCAAGTATTCTAGCATTAATATTAAAATAATATAATAATAATCACCTTGATGTTTTAAATTTGTACAGTCAGGTGGTAACTATGGCCATCATAAGAATATGAACCAAATGTCATGCCGGTCAGTCACAAAAAAAACAGTTAACAGTACACCTTTGTTAAAAGTAAAAAAGGAAATGCTCCATTTACGACCATTCAAATAATGAATGTCAATAGCTTTATCAAACAAGTGTCACAGACAACTTGCATAAATTTTGATTTTACCTGAATGATAGTTCACTAGCCATGCCGGCAAGAACTCTCGGCTTTTGAATTTTACTTCTTTGAAGCCCTAGTTGCAAAGAAATGGCCTTTGCTTTTTTATAATTGAGAGGATACTCATTCCCTTGCAACATCTATTATAACAAACACTTAAAAAAGCTATAAATTCTATACAAAAATTCATATATAATTAATAATATTTACAGCAGTTGTGTGAGCTGTACATTACAGTATATTTAATAAGCAGTCCTTTTAATAATTCGATCCAACAAGAAAAAAAATAGATGTAAAGTTAAAATCCTCTGGGTGCCTGTAGAAGTCTAGGGACGATGGAACCTAAAAAACAATTTCAAAATTAACTGGTTAAACAAGTCATTCTCCCTAGTTGACTATTGGTCCTCTGAATGCAAGCAATACACTTTGAACAACATGTTAACTTACAGCTGTGATCAAAGTGACTGGGTAATGTTATGATCAAAGAAGATAATCAACCCAACAGAGTTTCAATAGAGTTACTAATTCTGCCTAGGTCAGAATCATACCCAGGTCTGACCAATGCATCAGCCATACTGTCTGATTTTTTCAAGGACTCTCTGAAGAGCTCAGTAAGAACTGTGATTGGTTAGTTTTTCTTCTTTTTGCTTGCTTAACTGAAACTGTAGCTGTGGATAACTTGATACAAGACACAGCATCACTTCAGTCAAAAGTTAAACATGGCCTGTTGCTCACAAAATGTTTATGATTCATTCACAGTCGAATATGCTCTAAACAAGGTACATGGTTTTTTATTATTTTCTCTCATTAATATCGTTATTGTGATCACTATCACTAAATCAATGGCTTACCGGTAATGAAACAAGACTTACCTAGTGTACTGTCTACTATCTTCATGCACCTCCATTTCTTTACTCTTAAACTCATTGAGCTCTTTGCGAATTGCAGCCTACAAATAAAAGAAGCAAGAAAATATCTTCACTCTGCTATGCATGTCATCTAACTTATGTCCCTGGTTATTTCTTAGAAGCTACATCAATGTCAGAAATTTAAAAAAATTCCTTACTGGCTCTTTGACACCTAAGTAGCCAAAAAAGGTTGCCAGCAGTAAATCTAAAGGAGGAGGATGGTTAACAAAAGCCTTTTGTTACTAAGCCAGATTACTTTTTGAGTTATTATGGGGAAACCTTTACCTATCCCTGTCTATTGAGTTATTTTGGGAAGCCTTTTACCTATCCCTGTCCTCCCATCATATTATTTTGGTATCATTTTCTTCCCAAAATAAGTTAATAAAATGAGGTAACAAAGTTGTGGTTTGTTGTGAAAAAAGCATCAACTTACCTTGTCTTCAGGGGTCAATCTTGTCCAGGGCTTGTCAGCTCTATAAATAACAAAAACAAAACAGAACACTGAAGTTCATCAATATGCCTTAACATCAAATCACATTACCAACTTACATACATTTGTAGTTTTCTTCCCTTTTAAAGCAATCATTGAGCTAAGTTCTTTTAACTTAACCAGTCAATGAATTAAATTTCCTTGCAATTAAGATGGCATCAACTGCAGAGTAAAGGAAAACGTATTCGTACGCATATTTTTTTCTTAGTTTCTTGAGCATGTCTGCTTACAGGAGCAACCATTTACTGTTTTTAACTGTTACCCAGTACACAAAGAAATCAATACTTGACAAGAATGTCAAAATTATTAAGATATATGTTTTTACCTTCTATCGTAGTCATGGACATCAACACATTCAACATAATCGTTAAATTTAAGAATCTTCTTTGCTCTTAACTCTTGCACTGTAGGCCTTCTACTTAGCTGCAATACACACATAAACCAAGTTTAAATTAACTCTGTACCTGCAAGAAAATTTATGTTAGCTATTTTAGAACTATTTTGGCCCTACAATTATTTGTGTTCACCTCAACCTTCTGATGTGGAGATTTACTTTGAAATTTAGCTTCAAATGAAGAACTAATATAAAAAACCTTATGGGTTTTCATTATTTAACACATTTCATTGCATAAAATAAGCTTTTGCAGAGACTATTTGTGAGGCACCCATGACCAGACTTGTGTCACTGACCAAAATAAAATAACTGTACAAGTTAGAGTTCTCAACCTTTCAATGTCTCAAACCCACAAGTCACAAGCTTGATTTAATTTACCAGAAGTCAAAAGAAAACAATTTTTTTCCTCTGGTACTTCTTTTTTTAAGTAATTTTTATCAAACAAATCATAACATGTTCCTTTGCAAGGTTAGGCCTACTTGCTGCACTTTCTAAAATCTTCTTTAGAATCAAATTAACCAAACCTTTCTGGTTAAAACTCTTTTCTTTTCCTCTTTTTCTTCTTTAGCCTCTTCCTCTGAGGATGCTGTGATGTTGGGTAAAAATATGATTAAGAGTTCTAGATTGACCAGCCATATAGAAAGCTGATAAATTTGGAAATATGTTGCAAGTTTTTGCTGTTAACAATTATTAACAGCATAATATATGAAGATACCTAATTACTATGATAATCATAATAGGACTTTTACATCACTTTCATTTAAAGTGCCCCTAAACCCCAAAATTTTTTTTTCACATAATGAAATAAACGTATCTTTTGTAGTATTTCTGAGCAAAATTTTTTTTATTTGCTCAACTCTTCAATTTTCTGTGCCTAGTCAAAATACAGAAAATCGGCCGCCATCATGTCCCACAACCAAGTTTAAAGAGGAATGGCTCTAGTGGGTAAGGTGACGTCAAATCGAGAACACGAAAGTCTGGATTTCACACATGTTCACATGTTTGGGAAGGTTGTAGTCGAAATTTTCCGAAAATACGCCGACCAAGAGTGTTGTAGAAGGATTAACAACATGCGAAATTTGCAAGAGGGTATCGCGCTTCATACATTCCTCATACAACACGCCTAGTCAGCATATTTCAGACAATATCGACAACAACCTTCCCAAACAAGTGAAAATGTGTGAAATGCAGACTTTCATGTTCTCAATTTGACGTCACATTACCCGCTAGAGCCATTCCTCTTTAACCTCTGTCGTGGGGCAAGATGGCGGCCGATTTCCCGTATTTTGACTGGGCACAGAAAATTAAAGATTTGAGCAAATTAAAAATTTTTTGCACAGAAATACTCCGAAAAATTTTGGGGTTTAGGTGCACTTTAAGGAAAAGATTATGTCTTAAACTTAATATGCCAAATATGACTGGTTTGAAACAAAGCAAAACATTTTAAATTGAGGAATTCTTATTTTGGTATATGTATTGCACAAACTATGAGGTTGAAGGAATCTCAATACAGTTGAGTTACTTGAGATTTCAGGTTGGACCAATTTGGTAACACTACCTTCCTGGATAGGTCTTGGTTGAATATGATTGTTATATGATCACTTAATTAGAATGAGGAAGAGAAAGTGCACTGTTTTAGCCTTCTTTATATTGAAAATGGAGATAAAATAAATTTCTGCCATGCAGGTCATTTTCCTCACTCCTTTCATTTTGCATTCTTTGAAAAAACCATTGCAACTAATAAAATGTAGTATTCCACTACCTATAGACAATGTTACTCACATTTTAATATATTCCTTTCCCTAAGTTCTTGTGCAGTAGGTCGTGTGCTAAGCCGTCTGCAAGGATAGAAGAAAAAGAGTAAAATTACAGAGGGTAAGTAGATGCTAATCAACAAAAATGAGGAACAAAATAAATCCATTTGTAGGTTTAGTCTTGAAAAATCTCAAATAACAGTCATATCGGCGCAAAAAAACCTACAGTGGAGGTTACAAAGGTGGTATACATGCTTGATTTTTTGAGAACTCAGAAAAAGTTCACAAAACTTTGGAACATTCTGCTCATACATGCTTTTCAAAACATACTTGTCAGCTTTGATTACTACATAAAGGAGTCCTGTTTCAAACATTTAAAACACAAACTCATACTAAGTCTGTTGCTTCAATTCCTAAACATGTAGACAACTGATACATCTACATTTTTACACAAGAAAAATATTTCCAGTTAAATTATGGATGACTTTCCAAGAAAAGTCATGCACTTGTATAAAACACAGTACAAATACAGCTGAGTAATATCTGTGTGACAGAGAGGTATACTGCAAACTTACAAAAATTTAAGACATCTTGAAAGAAAAAAGTAGAGAGCTACTTCTAGATTCCACAACAAGTCACAAAACATGCTACTGTTATCATTTGCACCATTATGAAGGAGGATGAATGTCTGTTCTACAAAACATTCTAAATAATACACTGTTCCTAGCACAATGTGTGACATAATGGATTTTGCTACATGTTGCATCACCCCACAATGTCACAGAAATATATCGATCATAATTGTCTCCCTCCAAAGATGTTCCTTCCTGAACTCTTCAACAGTCACTTTCAAGGTAGACCTTGTATTTTATTTTTGTTCTCATAATATCACATTGGGCTGGTTTTTAAGTAGATAGAACACCTGTCATTATTTATCACTTATAATTAACAATTAAATACTGAAATACAGAAGGAAGGTGTTTATTAATCATTTCTACAGAGCTCGCATGCACCCTGTGCCTGACTCTTATTACAGTAATCTAAACATAAACAGAAAAATACACTGTCTCTCTCTTCAAAATTCTTTAAATCATATTAAGGGCAATTTCATTGGAGGAAGAAAGGTTATTTTCTTTAAGTCTCTTCAGTGCTTGTCTGATTTATTCTGCAGGTGGCAAGGTGTATAGACCAATCAAATGCTGTGTCACTTAACACCTGTTCAAAATAATTACCCTTAATCGAGTATGTAAAGGAATCTGTTCTCAAGTTACAAGAGAAATTTGGACCAACAGTTTAATGAACACAACATCGTAAGTTTAACTTTTTAAAGACCACCTGACAAATTGTGAATTAAACACATGTCAGACATTTCACTATCAGTATGTTAATTGATAGTACTTAATAACAAGAGCAACTTTTGATTAACTAAATTACAAGCTACAAAATTAAGCACAGAACACTAATGATAATTGTTACTAAAAGTAGAGGATTTTGTTCCATGATAACATGAAAGAGACCATTGGACTCACCTTATAAGTTTAGTTCCAACTTCATTTTTCCTCTCTAGTTTTTCTTCTTCTGTTTTTGCTGGGAGAAAATTTGGTATAATGATGAATCATCATTAAAATGACATAAAGTGACCCATGAAACAACAAGATAGCAAGGGCTCCTTAAATATAGAAATAACCATAAGAGTGTTTGCAAGACCCTCTAGCAACAACAACAACAAAAAAATCATATTAGACCACTATTGCTTTAATTGGAATATAATTAAGAATTCTGTGGCCAGCTAGGGAAGAAAGCCAGTTGTAATGACAGGCAAATACCACTTATCAGTAAACGGAATTTCCTTCTTTCTTGTTTAAAATCAACAAAAATAGAAAAGAGATAGTTGGTGTCTTCAGCTTTTAGACGATGAGTTTCAAGATATCATCATGAACAATGGTGAAATTGCATCAAGAGCATATGCATGTACAGTGTATTACAAGATCTGTACCCTAGGCCAAGACACAACCAACAAGTTCAATGCCATGTGACCAATTCAGGAATTATGTGCTCCTCTTGTAATTTTTCATACCAATTAAAACCCTTTTTTTTGTTTTGAAAAATTTTTCATGATCAAATTGTGATGTATAGAATTAAAAACCCACCACAGGTTTTTCAAAATTGAAAAACAAAAATATGACTGTGAATATTGATACTCAATCATGCAATTATTACAGAAATATATAACAGAATTGGTTAAGCCACTGCAGAATAGAGAGTTTACTTTTTTCACCTTAAAAAAGATAAATTAACAGCAACCTTTCCTAAATCAAAAGGTTGCAAATTATGGATCACAGTTAAATTCCTGAGCACTTTGAGATAAACTCATTGTTAAAGTGCCTATAAAGTAAAAAATTTTTTTGCCCTGTTTGTTTGCTTATGTCTTGATGAACACAGCTACGCGATTTTGACCGACCAAAAGAGCTTTCTTGTATTATTTTTTGAACCTCAAAGTTTGGATTTTGCAATCTGAAATGGGTCCATTTTGAGCACGGTCAAATCTCATCTTACAAAGGAAGTGACGTAGTTGGTGGTTCTGAAGACCACAAACAAAAGCTTAAACAAAGCGCCAGAACCACCAACTACGTCATCAGAGCCAAACTCGTTCCCAGTTTCCGGAGACACTGATAACGTCCAATTTAGGGACTTTGAGCCACCAAAAAGCCAATTTAAATTTCTTTTCTTGATATTTCTTTTGTCATTCCTTAATAAGGATATAATAAGCTACAAAATTATGCAAAAAAATTTTTACTTCATAGGCACTTTAACATACCTCACCTCACAGATTACATTATAACTAAGTCTTAAATGTTGGAGCAAGTGACTCCCTGTAGCATGGCAAGGAACTACTGTAAAAGCTTGTGGATAAGCCACACTTTTTTCCAAAAATCGTTGCTAGAAAGTGGGGGTGTGGCTCATCTGCCGGAACATTTGAAAAAGGTGTTGTGAATGTCCATTTTCCTGGCTGATCTAATGCCTTGTTTACTAAGCTTTGAATGTTCTGCCCATGTTCTTGTTGTAAGGCAAAAATCTAAGGAAAAATTGTGTTGAATGAAGAAATTCCTGTCGATAAATACCAGAAAAAGACCAACCATATGTCAAAGTTGGTAGAAATGATGTTCATTATTTCTAAGTGCTAAAATTGTGGGTAACACTTTGAAGTATTTTCCATTGCAATGTTAATGATGAGTTTACTTACAATAAACAGTGGTTGAAGAAGACATCTCAATACCCAACTTTGGATTTCTTTTGATTTCTATCGAAAACTTTTTTTCCAAAATTTGAGCTGCTAAATTCAGGGTGTGGCTAACCTGTGGGCTTTTACAGTAATTCACAACCAACAACAATCTACACTAGAACCATTTACTGCAGCTTTAACAAATGTTGTGTTTACGACTATGACAGAAAGTTGGAAAGCCACTGTATCAGATTCAAACTCCATTTTCTAGCTCTTTCAGTAAGTACACCATGATAAATGGGATCACAGAATTAAGTACAATAAATATGACAATTATAATATTGCTCACACATTATATCAACAAAAAGAAATTCTCCAAAAGACTGTCATTAATCAACAGGAGCCATGTTTCGATCACTGTTTTAAAATGATTATACCATCAGCAATACAAATTCTTGTGATAAACTTAGAGGATATTTACAACCAGCTTACTTAAATCCAGCATTCCAGACTGAGTTTGTCCAACTAAAGTGACAATTTGCCGAATAAATAGCATTTTGCATTCTGTAGGATTCCTCATTAAAAGAGTTCAAGTGTTGACTATCATGTCAAAATTATGGCTTATTTCTGACAGACAAGAAAAGCAGTCCGATCTATTTTTTTCTTCTTGTTTTCACACCAGGTGTAACAAAGAATGGCTTTCATGTAATTGGAAGGCTGGCTAATGGCTATTGATCAGTGATAAGACAGGTGTTTTGAGAATAATTAAGTCTCAAAGTAAGACAAAACGCATGTAGAATCTAAAACATTAATTCAAATCTGCAACACAACTTCAACATGACTACTTCCAGTTCAACATTTCTGATCACACCTGCAATTTGTCTCAAAATCTTCCTACCTGTGGTTTATAGAGATCAAATTTAAACTTATTTAAAATATAAGTTATGTTATTCATTCATTAAACAAATAATGAAGCAAAGTTAAACATGCTGTGCTCTGAATACCAATAGCTAGTCATTTCCTATGAGGATTTGAAAAATGTATGCCACAAATAAAAGCCACATTACCAAAGCTTAGTTGATGTTCCTTGCAGGAAAAAATGAAATAATAACATAAATTAACTTTGGCCTATGAGTAAAGCTGTTACAAAAAATGTTACCAACCCCTGCAGGGCTTATTGAGTCACCGAAGATTAAAAAAGATTAAACAAAAGGAACTCATTTCTATCTCTAAAATACCCTATAAATTATGTTCTGTGATGCTTTTATTCCTAGTTTCATTCTCAGGTAGAACATAGTGAATCTTTCAAGGAATTTCAGCTTCTCATTACTGCTTGTTTAAATTCTAAACCTGGGCTTGTACAGCTTATACATTGAAGATATAAGTAAAAAGTTATATCCAAAACTGTAAAGCAATTATTTATTGTTATCTTCTAAACTACATATGGTTGTCACAAACTTAGACATATATTATGCAATGTGCAGTTTGATTGGATATCATGCAATGATATCATGGATGCAAATCTCTCCCCTCTTTAGGGAAAAGGAAAAAAAAGGGACAACCACTGTTATACACAGTTGATATTTGACAGTCCCAGCCACAATACTAGTGAAATGTCAGTAGGCCATTAGTGTATTTCTGATTCTCTTGGCCTTCTTTCAGTTTCCCACCAATGTTTTATTGATCTCAAAGTATTAAATAAAACTAAAATGCTACCTGTATTTTCACTAATTAAATTCATTTTGAACTAACCATAGTAATTTGAAACATTTGCATACTGCAGCTGTAAGTCACATCATGATATTTAGATTTCAAGTTTTACATTAAAACATGTGGAAGGTTCTCATTCTTCTTGTCTTATGATACTCCATCTAAAATTCCTTACAAGTCATTTAGTGAAGAAACAACACTTAACTTTGTGGCAGCAATACACAGAGGATAAAACCAAATCCAGATCATGTAATATATAGACGTACAATTTTCATAAATCAGACTGATTTACAGATTTATTAATATTATTGACCTCATACCCTTGATTCACACTTTTGATTCGAATAAACTAAATTTCTTAACATTGGGTATTATTGCTAACGTTTTGCTCTTTGTAAAAGATTACACAATTCTTTGATTAATTTACTAATAAAGCTTTCTAGTAAAGAACAGAAATATTCACAAACTTCCACAGAATATTTCTTGGACACATGACAAACCCTCACAGTATCATGGCTATGAATTGTATCAGTCATCCAGTTGAGAATATGATAAAAAGAAAATAATTCAGATACTGGAAAGTGATATGGCTGAAACATCGATCGTTCGTCTATAATTTTCCAGTATTTGAATCAGTTTCTTTTTACCTCACAGTATTATCTTTGGTATGCCACAAAAAATAAATAATTAATTTTCCACTTACTTGGAAGAATGTTTCTGGCTTCAAGTTCACCTTGACTTGGTCGTGTTTTTAGTTTTTGAGCCAAACTATCCTTCCTTTTAAGCTTAGAGGCTAAGCCTAATAAAGAGAAAGCATTTCACCCTTCTGAGCTACCTACTAAATACGAATTTTCAATTTAATAGGCCTAAGTACCACTTTACTGAGATGAGGATAATTAATGAAACAATGATTGTACACAAATGCAAATAAAATAATTCCTTACCTAATAACAGACCTGTGATACTATTACTAATTTGGATGGAATAAACATTTTATCATACAAAAGGTGTTTGTTTGTGAAAAAGCACTACCATTTTGTGGGATCAGATTGTTAGTGGCCATGCTAAGAAAAATTGCAATCCTGTAAACAATTGCACTTCGGCAATATAATTATTTGGGTCACAAATTTACAATTCCTACACAGTTTGTGTGCCAATCTTTCCAACAAGATGGACCTCATACTCACCGACTGAACTTAAGCTTTGAAATCAGAGGTGCAACTTATTGACAAGTGTTTAGAACAAACTGTGCTACACAAATTCTACATGAGGCTAAACACAATTAAGTTCAATACCTGTTACAATTCCTTGATTTTCCTCTTCTTCCTCTGAGTCAGAAAAGCTTCCATCACTTTCTAAACTTCCATGTTGCGAACTTTCATCATGTGAACATTCTTCTTCATCACTGGTTTCTCTCCCAACACTTTGAACAACCAGAAATCTACACAAAATAAGTTAAATATTTATAAGTATATGATTTAGACATACGATAACAACACAGAATCTTTTTTAAGCCTGGTGATTAAAGTGAAATGAGTTTTAGCTTTTTTGTTGTAAAATAACAGGTCTAAGGCTAGGACCTGCAATTCACTAAAATGGCTCGGAAGCTTTTCCACTGATCAGATAGTCAAAGGTTCAGCACTGTACCAGTTAAATTCACAAGATTCTTGTATCACTTGGAGAAGATGATTATCCTTCAATCCTTGTAAATTTTTGTTTTGTTATCTTGTTTGTTTGTTTTTATTTCAATCAATCAAAGGCAGCAGGAATAAAAAATCTTTGACCATTAAGATGGCTAATAATGTGTGACTTTGCTAATACCAGGGTGAGAATGAATGCTGGGATTGGCCACGCCCATGCCAGGTCATGCAAGGGACATGTTGTTTCACCCAGCCCCAATCTCCGTTGCTGTTTTAAGAGGTGCAGAACCAAAAAAGCTTTGCTCATTCTTTTCAATTTGTCTGTTTTCAAACTGTTTTTCTTTCCATGATAAGTGGAGGTGATCATGAACCTGTGTGGGAATGTGAAAATGTTTGTAGACATCCTAGAAGGTACAAAGTTTTAATGCTACCCTTTTATTTTGTGCAATAGCTTATAATAGGTTGTTACACCTTCTGTTAAATTTCGTTTCACGTGGCCTGAATCGTTTTTGTTGTAGAGTCTCAAAAAGTGTCCCAAATGTTAAAAAAGTATAGGTTTACAACATTCTTTCTCTCTGTGATGGGCCAAGGAGAAAATGCTGCAATAACCAAAGTTATCCTCTGCGTAAATTTGAAGCAAATCTTTTATTTACATTTCACATCAGAACACTTTGCCATTATTACATTGTCAGCTTCAATCACAGCTGTGATATACAGTACAGCCTGTTTTTTTTTTCTCTTCTTTGCCCTATTTTCAATGGAAATCAAGTTATAGCATTCCTCTTATGGTTCTCAAAAATAAACAATTATGATACATAATGCTGCCCCTTGAGCGACCAGGTACAGGCTCGGCCAACCCCAGCATTCATTTTGACGCAGCATTGGCAAAGTATTTCAAGACTCGCAAATACTGTCCATGACCTTGTGGCCCTAATTATTCAAAAGGGATTTAAAGTCTCCAGGGGCTTCAAAGTGTGCTGACTTTGTTTGACTACCCTAGTCTAGAATATATATACCTTGGTTGTTGGCCACTTGAACTACAATGTCTATTATTTTGAGTTCGAAGGACTGTCTGTTCAATCGTTGAACTGTCCCCAGTGTTTCGACGAGCTGTTACAATCCAAGAGAGGTAATTAATCAATCAATCTGCAAACTGTCGACCTCACTGTGATACTGTCCTCAGTTATGCAAGTTATAGCAAATGAGTATACAGGAAGCACAGTTATTTCTTCAGTACAGACAAGGTTAGTTTTACACACAAATGGGCTGGTGTTCAGAGACAATGTAAACAGTGCATTTTTCTTCTCTGTTTTTTTTTTTTTTTGGACCATGCCACCCATCAACCTATCCCACCCCTTTAATTTCAATTCATTAGTCAAATGTTAACTAAAGCATGTTAACACGTTTAAAGTAAAAAAAAAAACTAACCAACAAACAAGCAACTGTAGAGCAATTAAAGCATGTTCCAAAAGAATGCAACATTCTACAATCTCAAGCACTGGGGAAGATGAACATTATGGGTTAATCATGTTTATTGAATTATAAGAGCATTCTACAAAAGGCTGAACTGTTTGTAATCAACTTGTATGATGTGAGTTAGAACTATGTACATTATCTCCTTATAAACATGATTAAACTTGTTCTATAGCAGCATTCAGTAGTTATGATAACTGTATCTCACCTAATTCTTGAGCTAGTTGGTCCATCATACTCAATGTATCCAACTGTTGAACCTGAAAATCATTCTTGATTTGATTCCCAGTGGGTAGATTGTCTCGCTGTGTTAGTGGAGTTCTCAAAGCACTCCTTGGCTGACCTGATCTTATGGATTTCTCATCACTTTTATTGGGCAGCCTGTTTTCTGATGAAGGACCATTACACTGGACTTCACTTGAATCATTCTCATTTTCTTTCTCTGAAAATGATGTTGAATTGATAAATTGCTGATTATGAAGACATAGTATACAACTTAAGAAGACATAGTATACAGCCTAAGAAAACTAACTGAGGGCAGTCTAATTGGGTTAACTATGATCAGTTCTTAGAATAGACTAATGAAAGAGCTCAACTGTTTCCTAATCACAACTGCAGGTTTAATGATAAGATATAACTCATGTCTTGACCGCCTTTCATACATACTGTATTTTCCTGCTTATTTTCGCTAATTTGTATTTCTAGCTCGTAACTAGTTTTTGTTTGTGTGTTTGTTGTATGTGTTACTTAAGAAGTCTTAAGTACCTGACAGTGTTAGTCAAATTTGGGACTTTGACAAACTGACTGCTTAATAGCGGGGTCATGGCTCAGTACTGTACTCTGATTTCACCAATTTAGCCCTCAAACTGTTTTTTTGTTTACTTCATCTTTACATGCTCACTTTGGGGGCTGGTTGGCTGCATGTGTTGCTTTAATGTGACAGCGTGATGGTGTTAGTGAGCTTCTATGCGCTAGCTGATGCTTGGCTGTGTAGCCACGTGATGTGGTTCCAGTCAATACCCACTAATTGACCCTTGCTCACCATAGAGTCTCCTGTAGCTCAGTGGTTAGAGCATCCGACAAGATCACGGAGGGTCGTGGGTTCAAATCCCATCTAGAAACTAGATTTTGCTCTTATATTAAAAATTGTTTATTTCATCTTTAACTGTTTTTTTCTAAGTAAAATTATCTTTTGATTTTTTATTAAAGAGAAAGCTATCATTATCCATCCACAACTCATTAATATATCAGTTTTCATTCCCACAATATATCCCTGGATGTTTCTTATAAAAACCAGGTAGTCATGACAGTAAATGAAGTTCACCTTCAGTTGTGACAGGAAGGATTCCTTTCTTTATCAACTCATCTCTGTTAGTGCGTACAGATAGTTTTCTCTCAAGATCTGATAAGACAATCAATAAATATCACACAAGTAAATGAAACAGTGTATGGCAATAACTTGGATGGTATGAATAATCTACTTTACACAATTTAACTGTTATTCAAAACAGTTAAAGTTAATGGTGAGATATTTAATTCTTCTCTGCCTTTCCACATATCAAAATTTATCTAAATTCCTTGTTGTTATCAGTTTTATGCATATTGTTAAACCAGACAAGACACCAAGATGATAACACCACATTATCATCAGTCTGGAATGATTTGTTGTTAAAGAAAAGCTATACCTTCAGGCTGCGTTTATGTAAAGAGAGTGATGGGATGATGCCATATCTTACCTTTTATTAGTATTTTAAGTCACCAGTAAACAGGTAATAAGTTTGAAAACACATTAATAGAATGATTTGTTATACTGGATATATGTTGTATAGTAATATAACATTGGTAAAGCAACACTGCAGTCAAGTGATCCTAGGAATTTTGAAAAATCAATGTGTTTGTGAAAAAGTGTCAAGGCAAATAAAGGAAGTACAATTTTTCTGCTTCCAAATATCAAGGAATACATTCAAGATCACATAAAGATTGTAGCTGTTATCCAATTTATCACCTTCCTACAGCAAAAGACAATATCATAAAATTGCTATGAATAATAATTGAAGCAACATATGCACATAGAACTATTTGACAAGATGATTTCTCTGGCAACACACAATTTGCAGTTACAATTAATACATCAAGTCTTTTTCTGATGTAATCATTCCGACAAAACTCATACTGAAATCAGAAACACTATCTTAACAGTTCTTGAACTTATCTTATGTTTTTAAATCGGGAGGAAGAAATTAGATTGTTATACATACATACATACATAAACTTTAATTCCTTTCGGATTTATGAATAGCACTAGATGTGCTAGTATCTCTGAACATATAACTACAAAACAAATGACAATAAGTTTAAAATCAAAAGACTTTTATAAAACCTCATATAAAAATGCAAAAAATTATATACTAATCCACACTAGATATATAACTCCTAATAGCACGTTTAAAAGCGGCTAGAGTGTCTGACATTCTTAATTCATCTGATAAGCTATTACACACAGAGGCAGCAAGATACCTGGAAGAGTTAAGTCCAAAAGTTGTGGTCTTCACTGCTGGTATCTGTAATTTCCTTTTACCCCTTAAATCATATGCACTTTGACTGTGCTCTTTGAGAAGTGATGAAATATACCCAGGAACCATGTTGTGAAGGCCTTTGTAAACCATAGTTAATATGTCCTGGACTCTTTTATCTTTTAGTGATACCATATCAAGCCTGTTCAGTAAAGCTGAATACGAACTTGATCTGTCTCCGAGGACTAGGCAAAGCACTCGCTTATTAACTATCTCTATCTTATTAGAATTCCGTGCTCCACAATAACGCCATACAGCACTACAAAAAAGTTACAATGTTTTTATTCACTTGGGGACCACAAAACAGAATTTAAGATAAAAACATTTATTAAATTTAAAATCTCTACAGAATAAAAAGCCAGTGAACTAAACAACATAAAAGAGGAGAGGAAATTTTTTTTTTTAACATTATTAACTTGATGAGCTCACAAAACATTTAGCACCATAAACCTGATAGATGACCTTTTTCAGGGAAGTGAAAGGTAATTACAATCTTTGGCAGTTTGATATGCATTATACAAAATAATTGATCACAAATTGAGCCATATCAATTCAACCTTCCGATGATAACAGTATTAGTAAAAATATTTTGGCACCAACATTGTTTGCAGAAAAGTTCAAATAAATTGAATATGTCGACGAATATCAAAACAAGAAGGCAGTCGATGTTACTAGAAATTTACCTCATCCATTAGCAGGAAACTATTAGCTTTAAATGAACGTTCTTTTTTTCTCACGGCCATAAGGAATGTGTTTAGTGAGTTGAAAGATACTTGTAACATTTGATTTGGAAAAATTTTCACCCAAAGTCAAACAATTATCAAGCACAACCAGAACATATCGTATTGCTGTGCATGTCGAATAAAAATTTGAGCGAGAAGAAATTGAAGTCATATCCTAAATAAAACAAACGAGGTACGGCACAGTTAACACTTTCGATTCCTCAGATATCTTGAAACTAAAGTTATATTTGTAATTAATCCTTTCGTTTTAATCGGATCGACGGACGATTACATTTGTTCGCGAAAATGTTTAGAGAATAAATTCTTGAGAGAGCAGAAAGTTAGAAAAAAATCTAATGCATTAAGCGTGGCACTGTATGTCAAACACAAATATTTGCCAAGAACCTACCAGTACAGTTAAAAAACAGAAGAGATAAAACTCAACGACCCTGATAATCGAAGGTACAAAAAACGAGTAGTGAGGTTGTAATTCCTCTCAAGCTCAATCTTCACAATAGAAGTCAATCTGACGGAACTAAGGGGGAAACTAATGACAAGAGAAATTAATGCAATTGAGAGGAACGAACTGTTTAAGATTAACACAAGAGAATTGAGCACATAGCTAAAGTGTGTTCTCGGTTTTCCAGAGGCGAAACGTCAACCTACACCTTCAAAAAAACTGAACAGATAGAGGATGCAATCGGAAAAATCTAAAGATTGCTTACTTTGTGAAGTAGTGATGAACTTCTGACTTTTCTTTCTCCTTCGCCATTTCCACGGTCGAAGTAATCTTCCAATACTTGCTGCCAATTTGCTTCGCCGCACAGGAGGAGGTGTACTTGGGGTCGAGTTTGCACTTGCGACAGAACTATCCATTTCCGTGGAGTTTAAAAACTGTGGTCGTCTTGTAGGCACAGTGTTCCCGCCATTCATGACTATGGTCATCTCTCTACGACCTGGATCACTGTTTGAACGTTCTCGAGGACCATCCAAACTACCAGAAGGCGAAGTTCTGCCATCATCACTAACCTCCATATTTTACGTTGTCCTCCTCTCACTGATGGTATTAGTATCAGTTCCAACCCTACGCGGTGAAGTAAATTGTAACGCCTGACAGTATTTTCCACACCACCTCAGCTGATGCATGATGGGGCTGAGCTGCTCCCGGAGGCAGAAAATTTTATTACACTTCCGCCATTGCAAGCAAAAATTATTTGGAACTTCTATTTTTGACCTTAACAACAATATGAAGCCAATGGCATCTCCTGTGAGAGGAAATTGACGAGCTTATCTAAATATATCGTATGTAACCTCCGGCACTCCACAGGGGACCATCCTTGGGCCTTTATTGTTTTTACTGTATATTAATGACATAACGGAATGCGTATCGTCCACAGTCAAATTATATGCAGACAATACGAAGATCTATAGAGAGATAATTGACCCGATCACAGATTGTCAGCGTCTTCAGGAAGATCTTACCAATATTGGCGAATGGGCTTGTAAATGGCAATTACGTTTTAACGCGGATAAATGT